ATCGACACCAAGTCGCGTATGCGTGTCGGTATCAAGGCTCCCGGTATTATCCCCCGTGTGTCTGTGCGCGAGCCTATGCAGACTGGTGAGTAATTTGTCTAAAATAACTATAATTTTAGGTACTTTGAAAATGACGCTAATAATTTTAGAAAAAGGATCAGACTTATAAAATTGTTGTTTCTCTTTATTACGTAACCATTCGCTACAGGATAGTAAACCTAGTTAAGTCTAGAATAGTCACAAAGTGACTTATAGACGAAAATTCATATTCCGAGTTTCAACAACTTAATAAAATTATACAGGTATCAAGGCCGTCGACTCTCTGGTACCCATCGGTCGTGGACAGCGTGAGCTGATCATTGGTGACCGTCAGACTGGCAAGACTGCCCTGGCCATTGACACCATCATCAACCAACAGCGTTTCAACAAGGGACAAGATGAGAAGAAGAAGCTGTACTGCATCTACGTCGCCATCGGACAGAAGAGGTCCACCGTCGCTCAGATCGTGAAGAGGCTGACTGACGCTGGTAAGCATACATTATGATTTTGACTTCAATATATCTTATACCTTTAGAAATCTAAATGTAATTACAATTTCTACTAGTAAGCTTGTCTACTGTTGACTTCCATATTTCGTAATTTTATGATGTCGATTGACATTAAAATTCTGTTCCTAAAACATCTACTAATATTTCTCCAGGTGCCATCAACTACACCATCATTGTGTCTGCTACCGCCTCTGACGCCGCTCCTCTGCAGTACCTCGCTCCCTACTCTGGCTGCGCCATGGGAGAGTTCTTCCGTGACAACGGCAAGCACGCCCTTATCATCTACGACGACTTGTCCAAGCAGGCTGTTGCCTACCGTCAGGTTGGTACAATTAATGAACATTTACCCCCACTAAGAAGTAACGGGAAAATATAGTCTGAAATGTATTCATTTATAATTTTAACCCTATAATATTTCAAAATTCTTTTTTATTCAGATGTCTCTGCTGCTGCGTCGTCCCCCAGGTCGTGAGGCCTACCCTGGTGATGTGTTCTACCTCCACTCTCGTCTGCTCGAGCGTGCCGCCAAGATGTAAGTACATAAGACCACATGAAAATATTGCCGCTTATTTTTAAAGAAGTAGAATTGATTCACTTTGCAACAATACCTATGTTTCTTTAGGTGGTAAATAAATATAAAAAATAAGCTATTAAAAAAAAACGTGTAACTTGTAAAAGTAACTGACCTAATCACACATGTACAGGTCCGACAAGATGGGTGGTGGTTCCCTGACCGCCCTCCCCGTCATCGAGACCCAGGCTGGTGACGTATCTGCCTACATTCCCACCAACGTGATTTCCATTACTGACGGTCAGATCTTCTTGGAGACTGAGCTCTTCTACAAGGGTATCCGTCCCGCCATCAACGTCGGTCTGTCTGTATCCCGTGTAGGATCTGCTGCCCAGACCAAGGCCATGAAGCAGGTAAAATATCAACTACAATTTCTTCTGTAAATCTTCCAAAAAATAAGTAGTAAAAAAGTGGTTACCCTTTCTAAATTTTAACCCTGATCTAAATGTAAAATTCTTGTCTGGCAGGTGGCTGGTTCCATGAAGCTGGAGTTGGCCCAGTACCGTGAGGTCGCTGCCTTCGCTCAGTTCGGTTCTGACTTGGATGCCGCCACCCAGCAACTGCTGAACCGTGGTATGCGTCTGACTGAGCTGCTCAAGCAGGGACAGTATGTGCCCATGGCCATTGAGGAACAGGTAAGAAGAAGGAGGAAGAATCATTAAATGCATTAAAAACTCTTAGAAGTTTTCTGCTACCCATTTAGAAAAATCGAAAATGTTTGCTAATTCTGATGATTTGTTGTTGACAGGTCGCCATCATCTACTGTGGTGTCCGTGGTCACCTCGACAAACTTGACCCCAGCAAGATCACTGGCTTCGAGAAGGAGTTCACCCAGCACATCAAGACCAGCCACCAGAGCCTGCTGGCTACCATTGCCAAGGATGGTCAGATCACCCCCGAGTCTGACGCTGCCCTCAAGAAGATCGTTACCGACTTCCTCGCTACCTTCACCCAGGCGGCGCAATAGACGTCTAGCTTTTACGAACTCTGGCTTTGACAAGAGATTGTGAGTCGCATTTAGGACAATTCATCTAATCCCTACGTAGCGCAGTCTCATGTCAAACACCATTGTATGTTTATGGCCAGCTAATGGAAGCGTCAGCAAGTATTTCAAGCGGATGCTTCCATCAGTGGTCTAGTAGTAGTTGTCATTTCGTAAGGACTGTATTGAATGTTGATACAATCATGGAATGTATTTATCTCGAAGGTCAGGAGTGGTTATATATTATTAAATATCAAAAAATACCACGGAATAGATAAATAAGGTTGGAAAGGCCCTAGCTCCAATTTTGTATTAGGACCAGTGTCGCCGCTTGTCTCCCACTATTTTAATTTCTACACATACGCACTAGTATGTTTACAAATATTTCGCACACAACCAAATCACACACACATAAATCTCAGGGCAGAGATTCGTTCGCACACTAGCTCTAAGGTCTCGTAGGCATAGACACACACATGCAAAAAAGCTCATACGCGCTAGTGCTTGATAAAGTCGATATTCTTTATCGATAAATATCTGATGAATGCATGGGAAAAAATGAAACATGAAATAAATATTAAGAAATATTTATTTTACTTTTATTAATTACAAATAATCACTGTCCTTGGAATAAAACGTATTTATTAAGCAATTGGCGCTTGCTATCAATGGTTAAAGAGTTTTTCAAAACAAAGTGTAACCTTACGTTAATATATTTTTCAACAATTGCTTTGGTGAGGTCTGTGACGTGGTTTGCTGTAGGGTATTGGCCAATTTGATGATAAATTATGTTTTTAAATATTTCACTTCCTACAAAATGACGCATAATTTTTGCCATCAACATTTTTTTGTTTATATTACGGAGGTTTTCCGTGTAAATTTTGATAACAGACTCTGAAATTTTACAAATCTGTATCAAATCTCTTGACGGGTATAACAGACCACCCTTATCTTTAGCAACTATAAATTTATGGTCTTCATTTATGCTATTGGACAACAGCGCTCCAATGCAAATATCACAATCTATTTTCTTAATTAAAATATGCGCTATGTATCCTGAAATATGGCTAATGATTTGATTGCTAAAATCTGAGATGGTATTGAAAAATGCGTTAATATCCTCTTCATTATTATTATTATCATCATCATCATCGTCATCTTCAATCGCAATCCTTCGTATGGATCTATTAATCCGTGCTACAGGAGATGATGCACAATCAAGAATTGAAATGTGTTCAAGCGCAGTACAATTTCCACTATCGAGAGCTTTTAACTCAATATGAACTAAAAGTTTTTTGTACGCAGCTTTAAACTGGCGGGCCGTGGGGTTATTGTTACCTCCACCATGTGACCTAATATTTCCAAAAAGCATTTCAAGGTGATCCTGGCTTACTTTGTAAAATGGCATAAAAATCAGAACTCCAGGACGTATTAACGTTTCATAAAAATGTTTAACAGCTTCAGCACATCCAATAAAACCATTGAAACCAGTCTTACGTAAACTTTTTGTCAAAAGAGTTCCCTCTTCTGTTCTCAACTCGGATAGGTACGTCGTCGCCATGTCTAAATAATTAAGCAGCATTGCAGCGTTGGATTCTGTTAGAGCTTTTTTGAAGTTATATTCATATGTGTTTCGGGAATTAAAAATGTCGAACATGTTATTGATAATCCTCAAAAAAAATGTTGTGCTTTCACTATTTTTGAATGAAGGTAGATTTAATTGGTCACGACAAAAGTCTATAGCGTCTGCTACACTTAGGCTGAACAATTGCGTTGCGAGCTTAACTTTCATCTTATTATTTTGAAAATGAACATGATGGTAACGAAGCTTGTTCGCTAAATGAAAGCCTTCCTTCATTTGAAGGTTATTTAATTGTTCCAAAAATCGCCATTCTATGGTATTACCATCTTTATCTAAAAATGTGTTATAGCATTGAAAAGCATTACGGATTAATTTTATCATGTGTGATGGGTCTAGCACTACAACAACTGGATTATTCGTTGACGGGTGTGGAAAAGAAATTTTTTTATCTTTGATTGAACAGTTTAAGCATTCTACCATTGCAATGTTTGCAGCGCATCCATCAAAAGTTAGGGAAATTATTTGTATGCCTGTTTCTGCTATAAGTTCCAAGCATTGTAAAATTAAGTCTGCGCGTTGTCTTCCGTTAATTCCGTCAACTAAGAAATATCCAACGGGAACCTTAAAATTACAATTTATGCCTGTCACCAGAAATACCAGAGCCTCTTTGGCTATTCCTACGTGGTCTCCTTCGATGCCACTGCCAATATCAACATGTCCGAGTAATTTTTTTCCATCCCATTCTATACGACGACGTATAGCCATTTCATCCAAGGAAAGGGCTGCAATAATGGGATATTTCGTGCTTTTCACTTTTATTTTTAACGCCTCTATGGATTCTGCAGTAAAACCAGGATCACCTCCCATATTTTGGTACCATTTTCGAAGCGTACGGCGATCCGGGAGGCAAGTATCAAAAGTTTTGCGTACGTATTCATACGCCTTAGGCGAATAATAGTCAAGTGTTAGCGCAAAACTACGCAGAGCTGGACTATATTTTTGCTTAGATGGGCCACCACCAGTACTTTTTGCTATCATACGATTTGTCAGTTCTTGTATCTGTGAATAAAATTAAAATAATATATCTTCATTATCTCTGTTATTTTTATAAGGCCACCTCCATCGATGTAGCCAGCAATATTATTATTTTTTTGTCGTTTTTTGCAATTTACAGGTAAATTTCAGCTTGTATCTTGATGAAAATTTAATTCGTGACAATAACAAGTATGTATTTACATAATTATAACCATAAGAATCATCAATACAAGCTGAAACTGACCTGTAAATTGGAAAAAAAGACAAAAAAAATAAATTTCACGGGCAGAGGAATCACCTTAACATTTAAATTTTTTAGAACAGATATATCTTCGTCCTGCAATGAAAATTTTTTTGAAGATCATTTAAAACATCTTGCATTTTATTAAATTTTTTTTTCAGTCTTCGGTTTTGTGCCTGTATCCTTCTTATCTTCAACCTCTGTTTCTTTATTAAACATTCTTTGTTGACGATTATCTTTTGTAGCTTTCTTTTCCTAGGAGTGCTTGCATTTGAAGATGACATTACGCTTTCCTACAAATAAATGAATGAATGAAACATTTGCGGAACAAGTGGTTTGTGAAATCAATAATATATATGAATCGTTGCTTGTCAAGTGAAAATTTGTGAAATAAGCTTTGGAGAAACATTAGTAAACCCATTAATCTTTAAAAAAACAACTATGAAACGATTTTTGATCAATCTTTGTAGGTATAAATTAACTTACTTCAGTGTATTTTCTTTTTAAATTTTTATCTCTTTTTGGTGTCAACGTCAACAAAGTTGAAGATGAAGCCTGTGCTTGTAAATCCTAAAATTATAAATAGCATAAAATATCTTGAAAAGCTGACTTTACACGAGCGATTATAATTCAAGATAACATATAAGTATTATGTTACCTGAGTGCCTTCGCAATTTTGCACACTGGCGGAAATAGCAACGTAACTGGGCTTATTAATTATAGCATTGCAAGAATTAGTTGTCTGAAAAATAATGCAAAAGTCTTAATATGCCACATAAACTTACAAAGTAGAAAACAAAAAATCAAAATTAAATTATTTTTAAAGAGCTGGAAGCTTGGATGATAATCATTTACCGGAGTGTGATATTAATCTACAGTAATAATTATTATAAGATTCCATACATACTCAAAATATATTTCATGAAAATTAACAATCAAATAAAATAAAACCTAAAATCAGATTTGTTCATAATGTAGGAGACAATAAATAGTAGTAGAATATGAAATATGGGACAAACTTCCAACAAGTTAGTAATAAATTTTGACAAAACCTACCAAAGAACTTGAACAAATCTGAACAATTTGTTCTCTTGGGATCGTCCCTGGTTTTAGGTACCTATAACCTGATTTTTTAATGATAAAATCATTTCCAGTAAAATGTTTAGAGCAAATAGTACTCGTCTTTGTCGGCATCCAGTTTCCTCTACCTGTCACGTCAATCCATTGTTCTCGGGCGTTAGGCTCTTTAGGAAACCTAAAATGTATAATTTATTGCTGAAGTAAAATTGCATTTTACTTATATTTTAAATACTAAACACAATATAGCAAATACTTGTAGATGACAGATCTACAGGGTGAAATTGCATTCATAGGCAATATTTTTCAGACTTATCAAAATGAAGGGAACAGCCGTTTTTCTTTCGTGATTTCAGGTTTGGTCCCGTAGTAAAAGTTGTTCATAATGATGAGTACAATGACCTCTTAAAGTATTGCCAATAATTCAATTTAACCCTATGTCCCTTTATATCATTCGGTCACATTCATTCAATGATTTAATATAACATTTAATTTACTCATTATTCGAGTACGTCTAACTAAAAATATACTATCATTAAATAATCCAAAAGTTATCTTTATCAAACGTAAATATAAATTATTTGAGAATTCTATCGATGATTTTATTTAACGACAAGGTCACCTCACTATCGATAAACATGGCGCCTTGCATCACAGCCAATCAGAGCAAAGGACGAAACGAAGTGTAAAGAACGCAATGCATGCAGTACATTGTAAGCGGACTTGGTCATTGCGTTGATTAAGCGAGTACACATCGGGCAATGTATATTTTTTTGTAACTTGTTGCAATAATATTGTTAATGTTTGGAATTTCATAATGATCAGAATAATTTTATGTTTTTTACTAATTAAATGATAATTAAATGTTATTTTCGACTTACCGATGGAAAGATATACCTCCTCGCTCTATACTTGCGGTTTGACTTTTTGTTTTACAAGTTATAATTGCACAACACGGCATTTTAAAGCAGAGCTCTGTTCTACGAAGTAGCCCGAAGCGCAACAAACGCGGTGAATGAATGAATCGGTCGAGTTATGATTTTCGAATCATAATTGTGGCGCGCTCGCCCCGCCCACATTACCATTCCAACCTTATTTATCTATTCCGTGAAAAATACAGTAACTTGAGTCTTATTTTTATCATAAAACAGCCCATAGTTACGACCCCAATTAAGTGTGAAGTTATTTTAGTTACAAGCTACGCTAGCCGACGAGAGCAAAAGGAATGGGGTGATTTTAGTCAGTGAAGGTCACAGCTCATTAGTGCCACCGGCTTCTACTTCGCACCGACTCGCCTCCTGCGGCTAGTATTCTTTATATGGTTTTGTACATCAACACCATAGTGTCGCCAGATTGCCTCTGTTTTAAGACCTTCAGGCGCGGACTGCAGATGGACTACTCGGTGACAACTCGCTGTTCGAATGGCTACCTTGTGTATAGGGGTCTCAAATAGACCGCGAGCTGTCCTAGTGCTAATTATTTACAAACTTGAAAATTCTTGAACCAAGCGGACACTGGTTGACCGCGGGGATTGATTGGGGATAACGCGACGTCCACCCGTGGAACACGAGTGGACGCCGTGCGATGAGGCGGTGCCGAGTAGCTGTAATGTAATGTCAATCGACATCAGAACCCATAATCCACTCGCCAAACCCAGGGCCAGAAGTCATTATATCATTCTAAAAATCATCAAATGAAAATAATCTCTCTTTATCATAATAATTGATGGGGCTTTAATAGTTATGAGGTCTACCATAGGGTACTTGGGATTGGTGCTGGACTCCAGATAGATCTTAGCATCACTAACAATACATCCCTTGGCTGAGAGTCTTATGTGTGGTTCTATGTGTAGAACTTGTGATTTATGGCCGTGTACGATTTGATGCCTACACTGGCAGCGAAGTTTAACTTAATTAGTAAAAAATCGGGAAGAGGGCTTCGTATGCAAACCTCCGATGGTCCTCGGTGACAAAATGGTGCGACATATCTACACACTTTAACGGCCCTACTGTTGGTCTGTAAGTAGCTCAATGATGTTGAAGCACTTGAGGCCGGCCAGTATTAGATGTCTGACTGGGGAGAAGGCATGTCACCCAGTAGTTCATGCTTGCATGTTGGGCCATGGTTGCTGTTTCATATGCTAGATTATTTTATAAATACTACAGGAAGGAACGTCAACAGGAAATCAGATCTCCTATACCAGGCGCACCAAGCTTATATTTCTCAGAAGCAAATGATGAGGTTTTACTATTTTTTATAAATAAATATTAAAAATGATCTTCAGTGAGATTTGAATTAGACGTTACTTTCATACTACTTTTGATTTCCATTCATATAGTTGTCATAAATTTAGAACTAACGATAACCTTTAGAACGTTATAGTTTTGTACTTTGAAAAATTAGGTACAATTAAAATAAAAAATAATATTTTTACACCGCATTGTTTCATAGCATGTCTCAAAAGCCCGATAATTAAAACTCATCTATCATCATTTTAAAATTGACAATTGACTGCCAGTGTCACTTTTTGACATTGACATTAAATAAATAGAAATTCACATGCTGTATTGTTTCTTTTTACCGAATTCCTGAGTCTTATTAATAATTTTAAGATTGTGAGTTCAAAAATCTGTTTATAATTGATAGAGTTACATGTGCTTTGATAGTGCAATATCTAACCTAATCGTTCATTCAACATTTCAAAGAAATACCAGTTAAAATGGATTTTTTTGAGAAAGCGCATGTTACTAGGAAACAACCTTCAAAAAAAGACAGCAAATCAGAAGAAATTGTAAAGAAACAACTCAAACAAATGTTACAAGGTTTTAAAAGAAGCGATAATGAGCTAATTAGGCACAGCGGAAATTCTAGTAATGATATAGTTGAAGCACACAAGCGCTTCGATGATTCGCCGTCTGTGAGCAGTTTTTCAGACCTGGACCTTACACATTCTGATAATGAAGAAGATATTGTACAAGCATCAACTTCCGAAACTATAGATAATGCTTTAGACAGCACCAGTCGTATTAATTTGTCAAATGCATCCGAATCCAATTGTGACACAGACGATAATATAGATGATTTAAACTTAGACGATTCTAACAGTCAAGAATCTATATCTGAATGTGATCAAATAGTTGAATCTTTGTCAGAACACGTTGAACATAATAGTTCAGAAACAAGTGGAGATATTTCTTTTTCTGACCTGGATGTGTTATCAGTAACTTCAGGAAGCACAATTGACTCAGAAGGTTTTGATCCTGATGGAAAATTAGCATTGAAAATACTTGAAAAACTGGAGAAAAATAAAAATAAAGTAAGTAAGAAAAGGAAAGTGGAAGATGAGCCAAAACCTATTAAACCTAAGAAGAAAGATGTAAAACATAAGAAATCCAGTGAAGATGAAGATAGTGCAAGTGATGATATTACAATGGAAGCCTTGAGTATTTGTAAACATAATGATGATTATGAAGATGATGTAGAAAATATATCTGACATGTAATAGTGCACACACATCTACAGCAACAAATGAGTCGTCACCATTTGTTTCAATAACTGTGACTGATATGCCAGAACAAGAGATCAGTAACTTCTTAGAGAACTACAAACACCCTATTGTAAGACCATTACAAAATATAGTGCACACTGCAAGCTCACCTGGTTTATTTGCACCAGAAAGTGTCAGTATGTTAAGTTCATTACCTGAATTAAGTGACAATGGAACTGTTGTAGGTTTAGTTAAAATTGACATCCCTGATGATACAGATACAGTGGAAGACATTCAAAGTGATGATGTAATTGAAAAGATAGACTTAGATACAACTACAGACATTCCGCATGAAGAAAGCACTGCAGAGTATGACAACACATTGATTTCTGAGTCTCAAAGAGAAACTGAAGAGGAATCAATGGAATCTTTGAAATTTTACTATGGGAAAAATTGCTATGTTGTAGTGTTAAAACATCCAGCAGAATTATACGTAAATGGTAAAGTGAGAGTCAAAGGCTTGGGAGGTGTTGTTGAAGTTTATGGCCATACACTAAAAGATACCGTTGATTTGTATGCCCCAAACAGTAACTTTGCCCAGTGTATAAGGACTGTTGAAAGTCTAAATGATGATTATGGACTTTTTAGAAAACTTACTGCTGAAGGGTTATTAGTACAGGAAGCTGAAGAAATTGTAACAACTATAGGACAATATGATGGCATAATAAGTTTGTCTCGGCTACATGACCCGCGGATGGACTTTGTAGAAAATAATGTTACCATGGATTTGTTTCCAAAGTTAAATAAAGGATATGACAGCCTTAGGAAAGTTTCTATGGATATTGGTTGCAGTCTTATGCTGAAAAAGCCTTGGAGACACTTTGAAGCAAATGATGCTTGGGAACTAGCTGTTAATTGTGGATTTGGTAAGATTTGATTATTTTGTTATTAAAATAGAACATTATTTATAAATGCAATCATATTAAAAAAACATAATATTTTGTTTCAGAGGAAAATAGCAGAGGAATTGTTTGTGGTGGCAAGGGTGTGGGCAAATCAACATTCCTTAGATACTTTGTAAATAGGATGCTAATCAAGGGACCAGTTCTAGTCATAGACTTAGATCCAGGACAGGCTGAGTTTACTGTAGCTGGGAATATATCTGCAACTGTGGTCACTACCCCTCTTCTTGGTCCTAACTACACACATCTAAAAACACCAGAAATGTATGTATTTTTCATACTTAATAATTAAATACTTTTCTAAATTTCATGCAAATATTTGATAAATCGTTTTCTTTAATTACAGAATGTTGAATATAGGCATGATCAATACAATGGACAATGCCACCCGGTATGCGGCCGCAGTCACTCAAATCTTGTCACACTGTCACTCCAATCAAGCCTATAGCTCAATGCCTTGGATAGTCAACACAATGGGCATGTGCACGCAAATGGGCCTTAAGTTCATTTTGCACACAATTCTATGCACACAGCCCACCTTCTTAGTTCAAATAGATTCCCATATCCTAAAAAAACGTTTCGAAAACCATCTTGATGCCCAATCTGTTAAAAGTTTACTTAAGAAATTCGAGAGGGAAGTATTCTTCAGAAATATCGAGCAGTCTATATCGGATTATAGTTACATTCTGATGCAGCATACCGAAGGGCCAGATAAGCATAACACCGCGACGTCGCCGAAAGAACTAAGATATTTGAACTTTTTGGCATACTTCGGCGAGCTGATGAACATTCATAAAGGAGCTCAGTTATTGGGAATCGTGCCGTACGAGTAAGTACATACTATTGCAACAAGAGTAGCCTAGTTTTTATACCATAGTTTTATTTATAATTTTTACTCATTGTAAGCGTACTTCGTGGCTTCGTTTTGTTGTTGATACGAAAATCTTATACAGATAGACACTTAGTCAAAACATTTCGACATTACAATGTAGAAATGTTTATACTGTAATATTTAACTATACCTACCTACATAATGAACATACATGTAATTAAAGTCAGAAAACAATTAGATTCTGATAAAATAACTGTATACATGTACTTACCGTTACTATCCTCAAATTTCGTTACTGAACTTCTTCTGCCGCTTGCACTATATTACCCAGCTATAAAATTTATAATAGGTACATAGGGATGTAAGAATTGTCCAGAATGGAGGCATTACTATGGTTACATACCATACTTTTGAAATATGTATCTTGAATATAATAGGTACTTACGTACCTACTCTTAGCTCTCCTATAGCCATATCTACTTGTACATGTACTCATCATACTTGTGGTCTTATTGGCATCTCGTAAATTGAGAGAACATTTTCTGATTAAATTGAAAGGTATTCGTTAAATGTGGATCATACCTGTGGGATTTAAATATGACCACAAATTGGTTGGCAAGTACCTACATTGTGATGCAATTAGTAAGATACTTCTTTCAACTCGAAATATCTTTTGTGCATGAAATAATAACAAACGAGGTACCTTTTCTAACTACTTTAGCAGTTAATAGCTGCAATGTTAGTGGCCAACTTTAGTCTAGTCATATGTGAGAACGAAGCATATTGCTAACCCGTATAGGTGCGAGAGAGAAACAATACTTTTCCATTAGGCTACTCGATAAATGCCTCCATCTGTTTCGTTGATTTCACGATCTCGTGCTATTTCCGGCAACACACAACACTGGTTGATCTTCGGGTACTGTCTGTCGTGTCTCCCGTGGCTTTATCGTCTATGATTCATTGTCCACCTTGGCCTACAACTTCCTACAAGTCATTGGAAAACACATGCATTCGTAGAATTTAAGATTCATATGGCTATTTTACGAGTAATACCAATTGTATTTCACTTATAATTTTGTAATCAAAATAATAAATGTTTTTGTTCAAATTCGTACATAAGGCATAATATTCAAAAATGCATTGCGTTTTTCACGGAACTTTCCATTTGTATATTTTGATTATTTCAATTGGTGGATTGTTATGAATTACATGTTCGATTATCACAATAACTGTGTGCCACAATTATGAGTAATAAGATAACTGTCCGGGAATCGCGCGTGATTCATACGAAGGCTAACAATGGCCTGTTAATCAATCAGCAGCTCAGATAACATTTCAGCTTCTATGAAAGTATTGAAATTTCAGAACTGAGCCGGAATGGTTTTATAATAACTTTCAGTAGAAACAAATACAAAAACTAAACACAAGATAAAAAAATGTTTGATCAAAATTTCGCCAAGTTCAAATGTTTTGACACACCTAGCGTACTCAATTAAATCACACATTCGTTACAATAAGCGCAAGTGTACCCATTGACACACATCTGTAAATACTTTAACAACTTGATCAACTTTCGAAAACATCTGGTTGTGCATTTGTTTCTCAAGAGCAACAGGTGGCATAACAACTATTAGAGGTGGCTATGGATGTAGCATCTAATATTTCTAAACTCTATTATTGTTTTGTTATAGGGTGAGCATGTCAGATGTGAACGTGTTGACTAACGTGAAAGTAGCAAACGATGCGGTGCTGAAGGTGATCAACGGAAAAATAGTAGCGCTCTGTCAACTCGCCATAAAAGATAAGGGGAAAGTGTTTACCCTGCAAGATAACGCACTGCTATGCCACGGAAACGGTAATTACTGTGTTATTTTAAAGAATGTTAGGCCATAAGATCTTGTTGGACTGGAACTAGATTTTTTCAATATAGATTTGCTTTTGTTTTTATAAATATGAATATTTATTGCCAAATTAACATAATCATAGAAACAACCACAACAAACTTATCTACATTAGTATTCCAAATAGACAACTGGTTTTTGTATAAAGTTTTCAAACTTCGGTTAAATTAGTGCTCTACATTTTCAATTTGAATTCTTTTAAAAATTATATTAAGTATATTAATGAAAATAATATGCATGTGTCCTAAATGACTCGGATGAATTAGGTGCTATGTTCTTCAAGCAAACAAATTCTTAACAGTTAAAATATGCAGTTTACTCATATAATGTAATTTCAAACAAATAGCATAAAAGTTATGCATAGAAATATAATTAATATCGTAAAATGTGTTATCAATAAGTGTAATAAAGTGCTGATTAAATATGATAACTAAGAACGTGACATACTCAGGCGTTTACTGGAGGTGTTTGTATTGTAACAGGTTTGGTCCGTGGCGTGGACTTTGAGAAGCGGCTGCTGTACATCGTGACGCCAATACCCGCGGACAAGTTGAGTGCGGTGGATGCACTGCTGTACGCGGACTGGGTGCCCGAGCTGTGCGGCCCTGAACGGTTCCTGCCTGAAGGCACCGAGGTGCCATACCGAAGCCTCACTGACTACAGACAGAAACAGTTCATGCAGACACCCAGACGCCGCTTCAACCCGCTACAATTATTAAAAATGTCAAGGAGTGCCTAAATTGAAACTTTCCATTATATTGGTTAATAAATTTGTAATTGGAATAAATCCAAAATAATAAATCTTAAATTATATAAAAGGAAATCTAATAATTATTTTGTTAATTATATTTGACGATAATTTTGTACTTACAAGACTAATGAAACATAACATAAATGATCATATTTAACTTAAATATTCCCCATACTAAACACCTTTGCTTTATAAATGCTGCATTAAAATTTTATAAAAAGTCAAAAAGAGTCTAGTTAAGAATTGTTGACATGGGGTTCCTTTATTACTAATAAATTATATTAGGAAGTTATGATTTCACACAAACAATAGATTACAATACAACTGCCCTAAAGAATCAGATTGGACGTCTCAGAGACGTGTCTAGCTGACAGGCACTTAGATGAGAGTGGGGCTCACGCTCCGTGTCAAATAAACATCCTACACAATTTATACACCACTATTTTATTGAAAAATTAAAATACAAAATACCGAACTAAACAAGTCTCGGTGAGATGCCACCGGTCGAGGTATAATCTATATGTAGAAGAAATGCTACTCGATTATATAACGTGATATTATAGCATGAAAAATTCCAGTGGCCCTGCCGGAGACGGGAGGTCCACATGCCCCCGACTACTTTTGTTAAGGCATTTACGCTTACTCTTTATAGATAATCTATAAAATATACAAAGTACCAATTGTGAAAGAGTAGCCACACAAATACTGAGTGAGTGTGCGTGCGACGCGGGCCGCGACTTCGCGTCTGCAGTCAGTATCGGAAGGAAGCACTGTGTGGCCGACGTCGCGACTGCTGCACAGTCCGAGTCGTTTCAAACTAAGTTATCAGGCAGTATGCGAACAATTCATAAATCAGAGTTCTCCCGACAACAGCACAATTACAGCAGGGAACACCTAGTCTTCTTCTTCTTTTTGACCTGTAATGCGGCGCGAGTCGCCGTCTCGAACACCTCACGCACTCCCTCCTTGCTCTTGGCAGAGCACTCCAGATACGCGAATGCGTTGATCTTCTCGGCCATCGCACGACCTTCCTGCGGCTTCACCGGCTCTTGCTTCATCTTGCGAAGCTCGTTGATCGTGGCCGGGTCATTACGCAGATCCTTCTTGTTCCCCACTAAGATAATGGGCACATTAGGGCAAAAGTGCTTTACCTCGGGTGTCCACTTCTCCGGGATGTTCTCGAGCGAGTCGGGCGAGTCCACCGAGAAGCACATGAGGATCACGTCCGTGTCGGGGTACGACAGAGGCCGCAGCCTGTCGTAGTCTTCCTGGCCAGCCGTATCCCAGAGCGCAAGCTCAACTTGCTTGCCATCCACCTCGATGTCGGCGACGTAGTTTTCGAACACAGTCGGCACGTACACTTCCGGAAACTGATCTTTGCTGAATACGATGAGCAGGCATGTTTTACCACACGCACCGTCACCGACGATCACTAATTTTTTGCGTATCGCAGCCATCGGTCCTGTGAAACAATACAACGCAAATAATTATGATGGTGTCGAGCGTCAACGCCTTTCATGACTTATAAATATGGCCGCCGTATAGGATTATGGGTAGGGAGTAGTCAGACAAGCCCTCAAATGTGAATAAGCACCTGAACTAGCGGAAGAAGTACAGCACCACCACATAGTACCCTCACATGCGAGGGTGTTATTTATTATATTTTGTAGATACCTGAAGATTGTGGCTAATTTCTGCAGAATATTGGCTTATCGACACTTTTTAATCGTCTTTGCTCATCACAAGCACTTTCGTTCGTAAGTCACTAATGTTGCAACACTACAAAATATATCATTAATATCATTCGTAACAATATTTACTTCTGGTGAAAAAATATTTGTTTTGAGGTGTTTATTAAATCAAATACTTATCACTTAAGTCTATAATCCTAATAAGTATAAATGTAATTAGGTAATTTATCAATAAAACCAAAATACATATCAAATTTTATTTGCCATATCAAAATATTATTATTTTGACATTTGGAAAATAATCGGATACACGTACCAAACAGATGGTTTAATATCATAGATTATAAATGTTTTTAAAATGTTCATAAAGATAAAAGTAAGATTGCTTGATACATTCATGCTTATTTTGTATTTTAGTAAAATAAATACATTTACTGCTGTTATTCTTGTTAATGAGTAGTACAAAACAACTGAATAATTTAGGATTTGTTGTATGCTTTGATCATGAGAATTGAAAAACACTAAACAAAGTAGGTATTTCATTATGATGACCAAATAATTATTAGGATTTAGTTTATTGACGAAAAATATAAATAATGACGTATTTTATTATTTATTTTTTAATTAGTAACGGACACCACTTGTCATGCAAACAGAAGAATGTTGTTACGTAGCTATCATATTTTGCATACCGTTGTCCTGACTTGTCCTGTCCTTTAACGTAAAGAGCAGCTAGTCTTCTTCATAGACGGGATTATTGTAATGATGTAACGTTCAGTAAAGGCATATAGCATAGGTACATGTAATTATTGGTTATGTGAAAATGACTGCATGGATATAAATAAACTGTTGACACCGTCAGTGCGAACTATGAGGTCATACACAATATGAATTAGTAGGTACATATAGTTAACGGTGTTCATGAGGTCAAAAAACGTCATGGTCATTGAGACCGGTATTTTAGCAAACTTCTTATGTTTGCAACTAGCACTTTCATGACGACGTAGCCAAATAGATACGCGTTTCACTTAATTATTAACAATATTAACAACACATCAAATTACAAGTTTATCGTGGTATCGCTTCATTAAATCTTTCCACACATTCAACGGTAATTTTATACTGGTCATCTACTTTTTAAGTTGACTTTATCTTATAGGAATTTAATTTTCGTTTTTGATGAAATTGCAGTTAAATAATTTATTTTGAGTATTTAATAGGTATTTATGTTTATCGTTGTAAGTTTCTGCTTTTATCCGCTTAGGTATGTTAAGTAGTTGCCCAAGTTGCCTATCTATCGTTGAAAATGTACCTACTAATGAAGAAAATGCTACACTTAGGTAAACAGTTTCTTATCAGAAAACTGGACAAAGTGAAAAATTAAGACTACGTATTGTATCTATTGCGGACGTTGTCGTGCCGTGTATGAAGTGAATTAGTGACTCACGTCCTTGATGTCTGTCTCGTGTGTCTAGCGGTTGCTATTAATGTTCTACGGTTTCGATTCGTACTGATACAATATCGGTAGTACAATATTAGACTATTTACTAGAGTATTAAATGACCCATGCATAATACGAGTACTCATATCGCACGATTTTAATACCTACTACACTGCCACCAAGTGACAAAAATCTGAACCATTAAGTACTGAACAACATTTTAATGAAATTATCTTTTAAAGTTTATTGGATATTTAAATACTTACTTATTTTTAGCCCCACGTGTTAATTTCAGGGAATGCTAAAAGCCCTTAGATATCTACTTAGTCCTCTCTCAGCTCAATTACCGTCAAATTTGCCATCCATAATCTAACATCATCTCGGAGGAATGAAGCCTCGTCAACTTCCATCTTGCCTGGCTATAGGTGCTTACCGATTAAACCTTTTAATATGTTTTAAAGGGTTTACTTGTATATAGGTAGGTATATTATGTACCTACCTACCCATTTACAAATATAATTTTATTGATATTATCAACTAATTAGTCTACAATATAAATATGTCATTGGAAACGGGACTTCTTGGTTTACGAGAGATTTTAACCGGGTCCAGGCTTGCTTGCGATTAATGTATACCTATCCTAAGGTTCACTAGTAAAAAATGCTTGCGGTATTGTCCGCCATTGTGCAAAAAGCATATATTATATGTTTAATTTTAAGATATTAAAACAGAGCTTCCTCTCTCCTATTGCCTTATTTTGCTGTGCCATAGGTACAGGGCCCATAATTGATCTCACACCAATTGTTACCACCTTTAGGTATATGTACATATGGTAAAGCAATAAAGATATCTATTGAGTATTGATTGCCTATTTGACAGTACAGTAGGTTATGCTATTTAACGTCATGGGCCTGTAGGTTAAAGTCGCCCGCTTCTCATGCATGATGGTGCGGGTTCGAAACCTGGCAATCAACAATGTGCCTTTGTCTGAGTTATATGTTCTTTTAAGATAATTAATTAGACACTACTGACATCCGGTGAAGGAAAACATTCTGAGAGCTGGACTCATTTTCTAATTATAAGTTTGAAATCGCCAATCCACCAAGAGCAAGCGAGGTGATTAATGCGCAAACCTTTTCCGTGTGAAAAGATTGCTTTGCTCAGCAATGGACACTTATAGGCTGATGATGATGGTGATGATATGTATTCTATGGTATTCTCCGCCTGTTACTTAAGGCGGGGCAGGGGTTGCACTTTGCAGTCATGTTTATCCGCTGCGAATAGTTATCAACGTACCGAGTATTCGTCGCCATGAGTAGGTAGATGCCCCCAGTCGCTAGACCAGCGCGCAAAACTGGGCGTATACATCGATTTGTAAGTACTGTTTTCCAAATGAATTATTTTATTTTCAGAAAATAAATACTAGTCATATCTTCTTTCTTATATATGAAAATGAATTGCCGATCGTTAGTCTCGCGTAAACTCGAGAACGGCTGATCCATTATGGATCAGATCAGACCAAACATTATCTAATATGGATCATCCATATTAGATAATGTTTGGTCTTAAAATGTTTGTGAAAATAGTATTCATTGACTATAAGGCTACTGGACTATAAGAATATAAGTCAGCTAGTCTCATATATAAAAATGAATTGTCGTTCATTAGTCTCACAAAACTCTAGAAAGGCTGAACCGGCACGACTATTGTAGTCTTGAAATATTCCTGGATCTAAAGCGAATGTTTACAAAGCTCAGAGAATATCTATACTTAGTTATATTATAAAGAGGCATTATTTGTAAGTTTGTATGTAGGGATTGTAGGGGGTAATTTTGGAACCGCTGGTCGGGTAGCTTAAATTCTTTCATTGTCATATAGCTACAATTTTCCTGAATGCTATAGGCTATAAATCATCACGCTACGACTAAGTAACAGAGAACAGCTATGACTAAATAAAAAAATATTGTTATGTTCGAGGCGGAACAAAGTTTGCCGGGTGAGCTAGTATATATAAGACATTTTTATCTTTGTCATCATAAACATATTAGCCGCAAAATGTTCATAGCTAAGCTTAGAGGCATTTGCCAATGACTTCCAGAGAAGCCGGGTGAACTTTCATTCCTCAGCTTAGACTTTTATAAAGGAGGTACGAAAAAAAACATGTTTCTCTTTATCCATTGTTCCCGTTTATTTACAATACAGATATATGTACGTATGTGATATCCAACAACCATAATTTTAAATGCTTAGAAACGACATTAAATTTTCGATAAACATTTACAACAATTCAATCAGAGTTCTAACAAATGTATACTTGTAAAGCAATTTTATTTTATTAAATAACATCACACGTGCGCGTTTTCATAAAAAAAGAACAAATCAAATGATATAAAATCATAAAATAAAAATAATAAAAAACAAACTATAAAAATACATTCTCATAACTTTCAAAAAAAGAACAAAAATAAATGGCCATTAAAAAAAAAATACAAACATAATATTTTTCCAATCTGATGATTATTAAATGCAATATAGAATTAGGATTATATCGAGCCAACGGAATGTAATAAAAAAGGAGCCAAGCATGTTTGGCAAGTGATTTGAATCTTCTAAAGCATGCTTAAATTCCTAGAATAGCTTTGCCAAACGAAAAAATCTTGGCTAATAAAATAGTATAAAAATAAATGCTTATTTCCTTGTTAATAATCTAACAGTTAGCACGAGAATTGATTATAAAGTCATGGCCTTAGTCGTGCAAGTAATGTGCGTGTATAGAAATAAATAAGGCACTAATATTTACCACTTTTAAAATTTAAAGTACTGTGTAATTACTCTTAATTCTTAATGCAAGGCACATCATTCCTTACGAACGAATTTCAATTCATAATAGGTAATATATTAAAAGTGATGTTTCTTCCAAAATATTATTTTTGGGACAAAAATACTTATGCTTTACTACACATTCTTTACTACTACTACATATTCTTTACTTAAGTTAAAGATTTAAATATTAAGCCTTTAATAATTAATTGATTTTGGGTGTGAAGTGTTGTATTTATTAAAAAGTAGCAAAATAACTGTTCTTAGGTGAATTCTTTTTCAACTATGTTACTTCGAATTAAAATAACGGAGTTCTTATTTCAATAATTAAAAACATTATCACAATAGGGTTGCGGCGCTCCAGGCGATGCCGCATCAGTCACACTTTAAGAATCTTCAGACAGCATCTGAAATTAAAAACAAACGTTTTCATAAATGACATCGACACATAACACGTTTCTACAAAAAATCTAAACATAATTAATTCAAAGGTTCAACACTTTTATACATTAAATATTTTAAAATTGTATTTTTATTCTGTTCGGAACTCCAACAAAGGATATGTGGGAAGGAATGTTAAACGAAATTCTTGAATTTGTGCTCCTTCAATTTCACGAGAACACAACATGCATACATTATTATCTAAAACACAATTTAGAATCTATAAATTACTATAATTAGTGGATTTAAAACAATTTTTCTCACTACCTCAATGATTACTTGAAGGCAGCGCCATCTTGTGTGAAATAGGTAAATCTATTAATAAAAAAAAGAATAACGCTCCATGAGTGGAGGTGTATAATTTTGGGACATGCTATATTCTTGTTATTTATTTTAATAGCTAAATTATATAAGGATGTACTTAACTAAACGATTGTATACTTTATTAGAAATAGTTGGTCATTGCAAATTACATTACATTATTAACTTTTAATTTGAATAAATCTCCTCATACTTTAGTATTCTTTTTAGCAGTCTAGTCGAACGAGGTGTCAAAAAAGCCACATACTGTAGAAGTTTTAAAAAATATACAATACTTAACTAGTAGGTACTATCTTAAAAAGTGTAATAATTTGCTGACAAGCGATTTTTATCTCACATCTTACAGGTGATTTCGGATTTCTTGTCAGCTATTAAGCCAGTCAGGTGAAGAGATATAGAATTATGCTTGATGAGTGCATTCTTTAACATACTTGTTTATTTTATTTTTAATAATAAAGATACCATTTTTATTGAGCTTTAAATTTGTTTTACTATAAATTCATTATTCGTGTTGTTATTTCGTAAGTGTTGATGAAATCTTAGCCTCCTTTGATCTATAATCAAGTCTTTTATCAACTGCATAAAACCTAGACATCCATTTTAAAGTTTAGTTATCAAATAATGAAAAAAATACCAAGAATATTTAACGCCGTACTGTTATAAGGTATCATACTGCAATCTTTAGGGTGCTAATGCAAATATTTTTGTATGGCCAGCAAGTAAGTACAAACTCTACTCCAATTTGTATAATTTCTGATCGTAAAACTATTTTCACTATACGCTACTAACTCCTATATAAATTTAAATTGCTATATTCAACTTACTAGTTTAATATTGGCACATAACAACTGTGACCTTACGAGTGCTGTTGTGCTTTGCCAAAACTTTGATTATGGGCACATCTTAACATAAATAAATTAATAATTTCTAGAGAAAACCTGTTTTTTAATCCATTTAAATATGTATTTAAACTATAAAACATTGTATCTTCAAGATTTGGTCTTTAGTCGATTATTTTTATTCGACTAAAGAGTTCGTTCTAGCGACTTCTTAATGACAGGTACAATTTTGGCGGTTCTTTCAAATTGAAGGTTATGTATAAACAGGTTACTACCAATTTTTGTATTTAGGATATCTTTTTTAACCTAGCTAGATAATAATCATAATTTATATGTGTTGCACGAAAATATAATACTTAATCTACACAAAGAGTTTGGTCACAGTATTCAATGTATTTTATTTTTCTTCAACTGAATACTATAATGAGTTTTATATCATCAATATTTATTATTTTCAATATAGCTAGGTTTTAAAACTGCAAGGTCACGTCATGTGATAATCTACTATATTATTAATTACTTTGAAGTTTTTTTGGGAAATAAAACAACGAATTATTTTTTAAAGAGTTTTATAGAAATAACAAGTAAGTATTAAGTAAATACATTTCGTTTTCCTAGTGATAATTAATTTATACAATTGTGCCGTTTGTAAGTTGTTTTGTTTGGTAACTTACAATATAATACTATGGTAATACTATAAATGGACTTAAAACTACGCCTGTAAAACAAATAAAGATAATTACTTTTTAAAATAGAATTAAATCTTCATGCATTACATAATAAAGTAAAAATAAAAAACAGATTCTTTATATTTCATTTGCCTAATTATTGGGAGTTACTAAGTTATTTGGTATTGCTAATTTAAGAGAATTTTAGTAATAAAATAACCGATGTTTGAGTAGGACGTTAGGTTTAAAATATATTCCGAAATTTTCAAGCCATTGCAATATGAGGTTTTAAAAATGGAATGTTTCAAAGACGTCTAAGTTTTTTTAACAGTATGCATAAATTATTCAGTTCGTATGCCGCGTAGTTGACATATTTAGCATAATAATAAATTCGTTTGAGCTATCTTTGACCTCATATTTGGCTCGATAAAGTGATTACTTGAAGTACATTTTATTGTTCCTATAACCTAACTAGTATTCAGTCGAAAGATATCCTTATAATGGACTATTTTTAAATGAACAGAAACTAAGCTTTCAGTCATTTTAAAACAGATTGCCTAGGGAAATTACAGTAGGCGAGTAAAATACCCGAAAACAAAAAAAGATATGGACAATTTTATGAGACGCCCCTTTTGACACAATAATTGATTACTTCTTTACCTTTTGCCAAGCGAAGATGCCATAGGAGAGTCCAGCGCCCACCGCGAAGCAGAGAAAATAGGGCAAGAACTTCAGTGATGGCCCGAAGCGTTTGCGGAGGAGTAGGTTCAACATCTTCAAGTTGCCATCTGTGTACGGCGGGTAACGGCCACTGTGAACGAAGTAATGTAAATTAATTAATTAGGCACTCTTTTTTTGTGGGTGAAATACCAAAAATGGTAAGAGAGTGGATGAATATATCTAAGCCAAAATTTTCCTTGCTCAAACTAGTGAAAATTAAGTAAATTTCACATTCATTAGTTTTTGTTAAGACAGCATTATATTTGTATAAACAGCTTCTTATGTGATATAGGTGACCACATGACAATTCACCTGGTTGTAAGCAATACTGTAAATTATATATTATAGTCGTAAAGAGTCGATTAAGGGACTACATATTTAGTCGAGTCCGGGCAGGAGAGTTCATGATAAACCTGAACATTTTAATGTGTGATCTCGATCTTGCTTGCCAATTATGGAAAACCCCTTTTTTGTAGAAGAGGGGTGGGACAAGCGGTATTTTCCGCAATCATTATAATCATCATCATCATCACCAGCTGGAAACCGTGTACTGCTGAACAAATACCTCCCTCTTAGTCTTCCACGTCTAAGGACAACTTGTCATTCGCCTTCATCGGCTCCCCACGACCCTGACGATATCGTCGGTTCGCCTAGAGGGAGGAATGCCCACGCTACATTTTCAGTTTGTGGTCGAGTACTTTCCATTAATGATGTGTCAATGCAAAGAGGTTTTTCAAATAGTAACTAATAGATACTTACGAAGCCAATTTCTCTCCAATAGGTGAGAAGTTCTTAATAAGGCAACTTTTCTTATGTGTGAACGTTTCAAAGGTCTTCTTGCCGTGGTACGCGCCTATACCACTGGCGCCGACACCGCCGAATGGCAGGGACTCAACTGTTATTTAGAACTTTATTAGTACAGCATAAGATTTGATTTTGAAGTGCACTGGTGAGATTTTCATTTTAATTTTGTAGAAGTTAGGTAAGCAAATGGGTCTTTATTACTATAACCTAAAAGGTTGAAAGTTCAATTGTTATCTTGCATAACTCCTTAATTGAGGATGAAGACATCATGCATATTCTTGTATTTCGATAAAATGGTAAATATCCAAATAAAGTCTTAACTTAGACTTTGCGGCTTCAGTGACTGCCGGTTTCCGAAAGGCCGATCAATGTTAAAATCAATTTAATCTCTTGTCAAGTCATCTGATTGGTTGACTGAATTATCAACAACCAATCAGATGACTCGACAAGAGATTTAACAGGAGATTAGTTAATTTTAGCGTTGACAAGCCTTTCAGAAACCGGGTGTGAGTTTTAAAAGAAAATTCCAAACTTTAAACTAAGAACTAGCGAATTTGAAGATGTTAAAAGTAAATAAAAATCTCACCAGTCCTAAAAAATAAGAATGAAATCATATTTATTAGAACAAATTTACAGTACATGCTACTTCATGCTATTATTAATATTGGCAGTCAGCAGACAGGAAGAAAGTGTATTTACATCAAAGGAAGTTAGTCTACAAGTTATATGTACAAAGTTGCTAAAGTTACCTATTTGGAAATGTTGGTGTTGGTAGTAATCGTGCTTTAATAAATACAAATGTGGAATCAGAATATATTTGCATTTCACTATACATATAGCGTAAAATAAAGTCGCTTATTCTCTGTCCCTATATCCCCATGAACTACAGAATGGATTTTGATTGCTTTTTTAATAGAATGGTTGAAGGCCGGTTTCATCTAGTTTTTCAAGTGTAAAAGTGCCGTTTTATGGCCTATTTGCAAAAATAAATTCATTGTTTCATTGAAGAGAAAGGTTTATATGTCTAATAACACCCAATTAAGTATTGCAGATTTTTAGGACAGCATAGTACCTCTGCGAAATCGGACAGGGTTGTTATTTTTCATTTGAAAATAAAAATAATACTAAATAAGAGCTAATCTTTTTGTAATCATCGTATCGTTCTAGCAACATAATTAAAACAGCAACAAATTACTTAATTACAACCAACATTTTCTAAGACCACAGAGTAACAAAGAATAAATTCAAACCTGCAAGGTGCATCATGGTATCGTTAACGCACATTCCTCCGCTACTAGTGTTGTCCACAATTTGTGACAGAACCTTGTCGCTCTTGGAGAACACGTACAGCACTAGCGGCTTCTCTCTATATACAACAGAATGTGTCAGACCGCCACCCACAGGCCATTAACTACAGAAGTGTATAGACAGTTCTAGAACTTAACTTGTCTATTGTTGGTTTTCTGTCAAAGTTTCGAATTAGAACAATATATTTACAAGATTTTATTTAAGTATAGCTTTATGGCATATTCTACTGCATTTAAGAAGCAAATTCACTTTCTTTTCTTGTGAAAAATGAGAATATTTATCATGTTCTAATAATGTTTATTTAAACTTTGACAGAAAACATTTTAGTCGACAGATTTTTTAGTCAATTTGCGACATAAAATTATTGACTACATCTTTACAGTAAGTATATACAGTTTGTACATCAAGTAATTAATATAACTTAAAGCTTAACCATCACCATCCTTCACCATAAGACAAAGTGAACAAAAACGATACCACACCACAATACATGCATAATGAAGAAAAATTCCCTATTTTTATATACAAGACCGTTTGTGGAAATTACCGTGACTTAAGACTTCCCTGTACGTTTTTTTATAATAGGGCATTCTATCAGGGACTTAATATTAGATTGATTCCTTTTTTTGAAGAGGGAAAATGATCAAATGTCTTCTCTCGTCCAAGGTAAGGCGAGAGGGAGTGTTAAGACTCTTACTGACTAAAAAGACCCCGTTCCTTCTCCTGCTCTAGGCCGAGGCCGCGGTACCTTATTGCGCTTTACCCGCAACCCCGGCTAAATTTGCATATCTGGATGTACATTCTTAATATATCAATGTATTGGTTTCTTTCCTTTCCGGTATTGTACAGTAAAATATTTCATTATAACTAACGAAGTTTCAACCAACACCTTTGAAGAGACACTAAGCTAAGCTCATGTAAGTACCTGAACCCGACGACTGTTTGCAATTCTATACAAAACGTTCACGAATAACAAATATTCATTCAAATGTAAATTGATTTTTTTAAGAATAAATATATAATAAGAATAAGGATTCCACAGTAGGATTTTCTCTTGGAATCGGGAAACCTGGAGCAACAATTTGTGGATCACTCAGAGTTGTTCCGTGTGGGAATGAAGGCACGGCACGTTACACTGCAACTGGTCGCCCCAGTGATTTCTTAGTAGATTTGTATCCTACATACATACATTTGTGATTTCTTTATAATACTTCAAAAAATTTAGTAGTTTGTTATAGTTATTTATTTCATACGTACGTATATGATAATTCCGCGATACAATACATCCACACTCTATTTTTGCCAAATCGACGCTCTTTGTCGTAAGCTTTTACCTACATAAATCGATGTGGTGAATTTTTAAAACAAATTTTGGCAATGTTTCGATTAAAATATCGATTATTCGTTAACGTTTAGTATTGTTGTACAAACAGCCAATGGCAATGTTTCCTTACCGGCGTAAAACATGATTGTGTCATTGATATTCACGCTCCCTGACTGGGTCTGTTCAGTGAACAACGTATGTATGTTCTTTTGTTTGCTGAACACGTAAAGCACTAAAGGATGGTCCCTGAAAATTTTCTACCGTTCAAAATGTGGCCTCACCTCCATGGTCCCTCCAATGGGTTGATGGCGATGGGACTGGCCGTAACCAACTGTCATTAACATTCCGAATTCGAATCGACTATAATTTTGAAATTCGATTTTTTTAAATATAGTTATTTATATTCTTTTTTGTTGCAAATAAAGTAAAAATATAGGCCAGTTTAAAAAAATAGTCGATTCGATATCGATATTACAACGAAAATCGACTAAATGATTCCGGTTTAGATTTATATTGTAATTGATACGATATTGATATGGTATTTCATGACGAATGTTTTATCATGTAATATTTTGTGCTTGTTCCCTGTAAATTAAGTGCACTTAATGAGGTTTATGGGTTTTAAAATAATCATTTCTGATTCCTTCAGTTCTGAAAGGTTGATGAAATAACCAAAATTATTATGAGATTTATAAAAAAAAAGTTTTAATTATGAGAATTAATATAAGTATTTTCGGTGTCCATGGAATTAATTTTACTAATCGATTTTGAAACTATGATAACAACCGACATATAGGCATTATGATTTGTTGTCAAGTACCTAATTATGAAATCTCCATGATAATTTATCAGAATGATAAACCGATGAATATTTTTTGTGTGATTTAGCCCTTTGGTTTGAAATACCCAAAATGGTACAGATGAATCTTCTCCCGATGTATCAAAACACACGAAGGACAAACTCTAAAACTCACTCACACACAACACACACACACACACACACACACACAGTTGACATATCAATACACTAGAACTAAAGAAAAATATAAATTAGAATCTTTAAAATAGAGAATTTGTCACAAAAATTAACAGCATTTTCCCTTCTGGCTTGCGACCAAGCGAGCCGAATGCATTAGTTTGGCCACTTGTCGCGCGACCAGCTTTAAGCGATACCGCAGTTCTGTCTTTAGGCTAGAGCCAGCATATAGGCTAGAGCTAGCAGCAATTTAGAATCTATTGCAAAATTCAAATAGCATTATTAAATAAAATAGCTAGTAAAAATTGAGTAAAAAAAATGGAACGAGCATATAGCTTCACTAAGAGGACTGACCGACAAATTGACACATTTTATCATTAAGCTTTGTTTGACTTTCAAAAGTGCCTGTAAGGGCCAAATTGAAATATTATTTCCACTTTTTGACTTTTAAATGCTTTAACAAATTTAAACTCTATTCCTAACTGATCCAACACAAAACAAGATTGTTCCAAATCAAAAACACATCTCCCAATAAACGAATGTCCCACTAGACTAAGACTTACCTCTCATTGATAAACTTGATAGCTTCATATGCATTTTCCACGGGCACTATGGGGAGGATGGGTCCAAAGATCTCGTCCTGCATGATCTTATCTGACGCTACGACGTTAGTCAGAATTGTGAGTTCAATGAACTTGTCATTAGCATCGTAGGTACCTCCGACGGCGATTTTGTCTTTACTCGCGTCCACTAAGGCTTGGAGACGGCTGGAAGAATTTTGTAGAAATTTTTAGTAAAATTTTGCTTAAGTACCGATGACGTAGATTGAGGCTTGATTATCTCTAATATATTTTGAACTATAGATGTGCATATAGCTTATTTAATATTTCTTCGACGGCCATGCTCTAGATTTGCTAAGTGAACACTCGCTTCTTTGACCTTGTCTCTTAAAATATGCCTACTCTTGAAAGTATCCAGTGATTTGACAAACAGCAGCGATTAAAGCGATAGCTCGAATACACAAATCAAGTATAATTTATACCCTATACTCGTAGCACACATGAACATTTTAGCTATCTGTCAGTGAACGAATTTTGGGAATCCGACTAGCTTTTCCGAAGATTACCCCCTACATACAAACTTACAATTTGTACCTCTTTCTAATATTAGTATAGACAAATATAGGCAAAATGTCACTCACCTAAAATGTCTAGAATTGATGATTCTGGCGAAGTCTGGAGATTTCTGTGGGTCAGGTCCATACCACTCTTGAAGGATCTTCTTGGCGGCTGCCACAAACTTGTCCTGGGTTTCTTTGGTGCACAGAATGTAGTCTGGCGCGATGCATGTCTGGCCAGCGTTGATGAATTTACCCCAGAGCACTCGCTTTGTCGTTATCATTATGTCTGCCGTGTTGTCAATGTATACTGGGCTGTAATGTAATGGATTTAAAATATCATTTAGAAATGTATGGGTTGAGGGCTAAATTTTTTTTTGCCACCCATCGAAACCCCCGCAACAATGTTAGCGTTTTTAGGTATTGGGACTGGGACTTTGAAGATAAGGGAGGGGAAGGGATGGATTGAACCTCTGGCAAGCTCACGCATTTACATTACATTTTTGATTAGATTTGTTTACTATTCTTTAAAAACTATTTTTAATTTGTTTACTATTTTTTAATTCTCTACCGGTGATATCAAATGTACTACTTTGGCCGAGAAGGCCCAACGTACCGAAGCATATTTCTCTAATAGTAATATTTATCATCGAATTTGGAAGTCATTGGTGATGACATGCATGATGGATATCTTGTGTCCGATATTCTTATGATGAATCACGGTAAGTTTTGTCTATAATTTTTGCTATGTCAGCTTGTTCATGATCAATCGATATTTTTTCGGCATCTGATTTCATTATCCTAGATTTTGATAATCTACTTTTAGTATCTACATAATATCATTATGTGCATTGTCATGTTGTAACATGTTTTGCCCTTATGTATCTTTTTATTATCATGTTTACGTGAATTGCATAACTGCTGTTAACTAATTACCTACCAGATTTTAATTATTAATCTAAATACTATCGATAAATAATTACATTATCTTAAATATTTACTTTTATCGATTTTTAGCTGTTGATGATGCAATAATATATATTATTCTTTTTGCTGTTCCAATTGTTTTTTTATTGTAAGATAAAGATCGTCCTCGTCCGATGGACATCTCAACCAAATTCTAATGAAAACTTTTTTCATGATTACCATTCTATTTTCTATCAAAACCATTCTCAACAAGTCTTTCTTAAGCTTCCATAAGACAATTGACTTTATTCCAATTAAGTTAAAAGTTAATGTTCCACGCACGATATTTAGTTTCGCCATTCTCTCATCTCTATCACAAAACGACTTATATTCTCATGAGATTAAAGATCATATTTCTACGCACCTTTTGCCTCCAAGTTCCAATGTAACAGGGGTCAGGTTCTTGACAGCAGCTTCGTAGACGATCTTGCCAATGCTAGTGCCGCCGGTGAAGAAAATGTAGTCGAATTTCTGTTTCAACAACTCTGTAGTTTCTTGGGGTCCACCTTCAATTACAATAACTGCATCCTGTAATTAAAGATTGGTTTAATTATAAACTTGTGTGGGAGAGCCATGCTTCGGCACAAATGGGTCGGCTCGACCGAAGTGATACCACGGCCTCACAGAGAAATGGCGTGAAACTACACTAACGTTGTGTTTCGCCGCGTGTGTGAGGTTACCGGAGGCCCAATCCTTCCCCTCCAGCTACAATCCTCAAATCCCCTATTCTGAAATCTCAAATAACCCACAAGAGGTTAGCTACGCAATATTCCATGGGCGACGCTGATTGCTAACCACCAGGTAATCCATCTGCTCGTTAACAGAAATAATCAATGAAATAAAGAAAAACTAGCAAACCACCGCAGCTTCGCAGTTGTAATGCTGATAAAAAAACAAAACACTTTTTAATTGATGTCATTATACATATAAACCTTCCTCTATAATAACTCTACCTATTAAAAAAAACGCATCAAAATCCGTTGTGTAGTTTTAAAGATTAAAGCAAACATAGGAAAAAAAGGCATAGAGAAAGCGACTTTTTTATACTATTTAGTGAAGCTCAGTTTTATGGACGATCCACCTTACAAAATACTTTTTTATAGATTTTATTGAGTGAAAAGCTGGGGCCATAAATGCTTATGATTCTTTCATCGATCGATTTTTCTCTCTGGTCTTATCGGATAGCTATTCTGTAGGTTTATTTGAGTAGGACTGGAGTTTTATATTACCTACGATTTTCCACAAAAATTGGCCCACGTAACGATGTAGCTTAGAAACTCTAAACTAAACTATATTTAATGGGCAAATCACTGATATTTATGAGATCGTGAGACACGTATCTATTCTAATATGTATACCTATTATTTACTGTTATTGAAATAGATAAGTTACTGTAGTTTGAAACTATATTTTAAATAAAATCTATTTACTTATTACTATATTGAAAGATCCTCGTCCATATTACCTGCATAGGAGGAGACACGCAAATCAAATTATATTTTTTTTATCTTCAGAATAATTTTATCCTCTGCGGCTAAAAAGTAGTCTTGTTTGGATAATATCCACAATGCACAAACTGACCTTCTAATATTAATAGACCCGTTATCCTTTTACTTGTATGTTTTTTGACGAAAAAAGGTCGTATTTTATTTAAGGAAATGTATAATATATTGACAGCTAAAGTGGCTCACAAAACTGGAGCAATGCAGTTTATGAAGTTCAATGCTTTTTTTAATTTGCTCGACATTGCACTACATAAAGGTTCAAAATGAAGTAAGTGAAAGGAGTGTTGACGGATATGTACAATTTAATAAGTTTCAATTGCCTTATTTTGATTTCAGAAAGCCTTCAAAACTGATACTTTTCTTAAAATAGAACCAAAAGTGCAGAGAGCTTGGCATTGTATATCATATACATGTCGCGGTGTGACTGTATATATAATATGCTGTATTACATTACAGCTAGTTATTAACAAAAACCAGGGTTGTTTTGAAATATAGTGGTTCAACGATACCTAAGACGGATTAAATTCGGCGCCATACGTCATTCAATTTTAACAGTTAAACGTAATGTAATAAAGCAAAAGATAAGCCGCTTTTTTGCCAGTTATCACGACATGTTTGATGTGCCCAAGTAGGAGTCACCTATAAGTAATTTTATAGGGCACCCCTACTTGCATAGGTTAGCTTAGGTTAGAAGCGTGATCTTTAAGACATAGATCAAACATGTCGTGGTCAAAATTAAATACTACAATTTATATAAGTAGTAGCGCAATACGTCGTACATGCTTTAATGGAGGACGCTTCGCAATGACAAATGCAGCGGTTAAACAATTAGCCGGCGGTTTTGAAATCAAAATAGCCCTGTTTTTCATAACAGTTAGACGTAATGTAGTACGGCTGATTATACAACGGGCTTGCCACATACATATCACCCTGTCATAATAATAAACGTACTCGATTAAAGTACAATATAAGGAGCATATCTAATCCTTTCAGCACACAAGATCAGCATTTACTTTGATTACAAACTAAAAGACACATAAAATTACTCACATTATCCAAATACTTGGGAACAGTTTCAGCGACGAAAGCAGCGCAAGCTGTAGCCAGCTCACTGGGCTTGATGATGACGGCGTTTCCACCAGCAATGGCACCAGAAACTGGGAGCAGCAGCAGTTGTAAGGGGTAGTTCCAGGAACCGATCACCAGGGCTACTCCGTAAGGATCGTGGTAGATGACGACATCATCCAGCATGTTCACGAACCCCTTTTCAGGCTGGGAAAGAGAAATATAATTTGTTACTTTTATACATTATAAAATATATTATTGAAACTGAACTGAGTAAAGCTCTACTAGTTTCAAGTCAAAGCGGGACTCTTATTTATGAGAAGCGCGCGCGTCGAGGCCTCTTTGCACAGACCATTCAAGCAGTAGAGCTACAAGTATTCTGAGGTGATTCACGTGAGTAACTCGTTATTTTCGCTAGATTTAGTATGTCTCACGATAGTAACTAAACTATAGATTTAGATCAAAATTGGAACAGGAATATTATTGTCTATTTTGTTGCCCAATGTGGGGCGAGTATCTCTTATACGGGAGTATGTATATATATGTATCAGGCTCTTACTACCTAAAAACCCCGTTCCTTCTCCTGCTCTAGGCCGAGGCCGCGGTGGCTTATTGCGCCTACCCCGCAACCCCGGCTAAACATCAGCCCTAATATAATAAAAACTGAGGTGGTGACCGTTCTGTGGTGATCAATTGGCTCTTTGAGGCGCGTGCGGAACGCTACGCGCCGTACGCTCTGGAGGGACCGTATTTTAGTTTGGAATAACACAGAGGCTTCTTTTTATCCCGGTAACGCGGGCGAAGCCGTTGACAGAAGCTAGTATTACAATAACTGGATATTGAGTTGTCGCATTCATTTTGTACTACCTACTTAAAACGATATTAATACGCGTAGTTCTTTCTGAGAACCGACATGATTAAATCACTGTCATAGTTTCTTTTATACTTTGCAGGCAATAAAATGATGGGTCCAAAGATAATTGTTTTTAATGGCAGTAGATAATTGCAAGCAATTTTCCATGCAAGTGTGTCATTATTGATTGGTAATAAGGTTGCAAATGGCGTAAAGGAAATTCTGTCGATTGCGTTTCTAGACTGTTACATTTCGTATGTAATATTATGTACCTACTGTGGGATGTGAATATTTCCGAACGAGTGAGATGTGTGTAAGGTAATGCTAGTTTCTAAACGAATGTGTGGAAGTAAGAGAGAATGAATGAGCGAGTGAGATAGAGCAATTTTCGAAAGAAGAACATGTAATGGGACGAATGACAGGACGGACACGTTTTTTTTTGTTTTAACCACGACGAATTGACAAATACACGATTATTACGATTTTTCCTACACAAAACGAAGTATTTTTAATATCCTGCGAACCCTTGATCCCCACAGTTTTGGGGGCTCGTCCGGGATCAAGGATTAGTGCTGCGGATACATACCGACGAAGACGCCACGAAGTGAAGAAACACGACGACGACGCTTACGACTATAACGATTTCAAAAGAATGTCGAAGAATACCAATGCCGGTGATTCACCAGACCACGAGCAGTTCTGGTGCACCAAGGACGCCGTTCCATCGTTCAGCGGACAGGATAAGACATACCCCGTCTCGAAATGGATTCAAGACATTGAGGACAACGGAGACATATTCCAGTGGTCGCCGATACAACAATTACTCGTCGCCAGGCGCTCGCTTACGGGTACAGCAGCGCTCTGGTTCCGGGCTGAAAAAACGTTTAAGACATGGGAGGAGCTGAAGACGGCCATCTCAAAAGAATTTCCTGACACGCTCGATCAAAAAACTGTGCATGAATTAATGAGTGCACGTAAGAAAAAACCCAGTGAGTCCTTATTGGAGTATTTATACACGATGAAGGAATTAGGAAAACGAGGTAAAATGCCGGACTATATCGCCATCCGCTACATTGTAGACGGTATACCTGATCTAGAGAGTAATAAGATCATGCTTTACGGTGTTACAACATATTCCGACTTGAAGGACAAATTAAAGATTTACGAGATGGTGAAAGAAAAAATGAAGGTGAGAATGTTAAGTACGCGTAGTAAGCAGCAAGCGGAAGCGGTGCGTCACAGCGATCACTATAAGCCATTCCAACCAAGATGTTTTAGCTGCGGCGATCGAAGCCACATGTTAGACCAGTGCCCGCATAGCGGTAAAGGCAAGAAGTGTTTTCATTGTAATGATTTCGGGCATATTTCGGCAGAATGTCCGAGTAAGAAGTATGCAAATACAACGCCTTCAACTTCAACATACACGCAATCAAGAAAAGATGGCGGCGGTGCTGAACGAACAACTCGAACAATTGAACGCAACGAATATCAACGAAGTCGCTCGACGCCACACGAAGCTACTCCACTTCCGCCGAAGCAGACCTACTTCACCACGAATGAGTGCGGTGCGATCGATGACGTCATGCACGATGTTCATGTCGTCAATACGGATATGAAGTGCGCCACGATTCATGAACGAAACGCAACGTATGACAGTGACAGCTCAAACCGTTCGATTGACGTTGTAGATCAAGATGTCAAAGACAATAACAATATAGCATTGTTTACATCAAGATCGCGCCAGAAACCGCTGAAGACGGTGAAAATATGTGGTAAGACAGCAGAAGCGCTGGTGGATTCAGGCAGCGATATTAATCTTATTACGGATGAGTGGCGTCGTCAGCTGGGATTGAGTGTCAACAGTGATAGTGTCTCGGTCAGTGGTTTGGGATTGTCGATAATAAAAACCAGTGGTTCGTGCACAATGGACATTATTATAGACGATAAGAAATACGAAAACGTTAAATTCTATGTAATTTCGAAAAGTGAAATGCCTTTTTGTATCATATTGGGCAATGATTTTTTACAAAGAGTGACAATGTGTATGAGTGGTAATTCTGTGTGGTTTGGTACTAAAGATGACGAGTGGTTAAGTTGCATGCTAAGTGAGGTTAATGTGTGTTCTGATTTTCCTTCCACAGATCATGAGGTAAGATATAAAGTTCAACAGTTAGTTCAAAGCTACATACCTCGGCAAAGTAAGGAATCACCTATACAGATGAAAATTATAGTGAAAGATGATGTCCCTGTAGCACAACGTCCCCGAAGAATTTCATTGAAAGAACAACAGGAGGTAGAAACACAGGTAAGAGAATGGTTGGATAAAGGCATCATTCGGGTGAGCCATTCTGAATATGCTAGTCCCTTAGTACTTGTCCGGAAAAAAGATGGATCATTAAGAATGTGTGTTGATTATAGAAAATTGAACCAAAAAATTGTAAAAGACGAATTTCCTCTTCCCTTGATTGATGATTGTATTGATAAACTATCAGGTGGTAGATATTTTAGTGTGATTGACTTAAAGAATGGATTTTTTCATTTACCTATTAGTGAGGAGTCCATAAAGTACACTGCTTTTGTAACCCATCACGGCCAATATGAATTTTTAAGGGCGCCTTTTGGACTATCAATTTGTCCAAACTATTTTATGAGGTTTGTGTCTATAGTGTTCAGAGACCTGATATCTTCAGGTAAAGTTATAATATTCATTGACGATATAATAATTCCAGCTTTAAATGAACAAATGGCAGTAACAAGGTTGATGGAAGTTCTGGAAGTTGCCGCAGAATATGGACTGCAGATTAATTGGAAAAAAGCTAGCCTGATTACCCCGAAAATTACCTTTCTTGAACACATAATTGAAAATGGAGAAGTACGACCATCGTTAGAGAAAACTGAAGCTACTGAAGTACCTCGTGGTAATGGACAGGTGAAACGAGTTCACAGGACAATAATATCTGTACTCACGAAGTTATGCATTGAGAATCCGTCTCTATGGTATAGTCACGTCAGCCAGGTTCAAAGAGCTATCAACAGCACATTTCAAAGAAGCATAAACACAACGCCATTCGAATTGTTATCAGGAGTCAAACTGAAGACAGGTAAAAATGAAGAAATATGCAAGTTGATACAACAGGAAGAAATTGATGAGTTTGCTGGCAGGAGAGAGCAATTCCGATTAAAGGCTAAGGAACAAATCCTTAAGGTACAGGATGAGAATGAAAGGAACTATAAAAGAAGAAGGAAGGAAAGTACGAAATTTTACTTTAGGGAATTAGAGGCTATTAAGCGCACTCAGTTTGGAGGCGGGCTCAAATTGAAGCCAAAGTTCTTAGGTCCCTACAAAGTTACAAAAGTTAAAGGGAACGACCGTTATGACGTAGAAAAGGTATTTAATGGAGATGGAGATGGACCTAACAGGACTTCTACTTCTGTGGACAATATGAAAAAGTGGCCAGCAGTAGTAGTAGAGTAAAGGTACATATTTTTACACATTTTCATTTTGGGTATGAAAGGGATGAATGTCAGTTGTCTTAGAAATAGTTTTTTTCTTCAAGTGTTGTTAAAGTTCTTATTTGTTAAATACTAAGAAATGTTTAGTTATATAAGAAGATACCATGTTTAGTTTTATGAGTTTTCAGCTGTTATGTTTTGGGATGTAACTTTTAAAGTAGATATATTTAAGTTTTATTGTATATAGGTATAGTGTCTGAGGGCAGACACTCTGTCAGGATGACCGAATGTGGGATGTGAATATTTCCGAACGAGTGTGATGTGTGTAAGGTAATGCTAGTTTCTAAACGAATGTGTGGAAGTAAGAGAGAATGAATGAGCGAGTGAGATAGAGCAATTTTCGAAAGAAGAACATGTAATGGGACGAATGACAGGACGGACACGTTTTTTTTTGTTTTAACCACGACGAATTGACAAATACACGATTATTACGATTTTTCCTACACAAAACGAAGTATTTTTAATATCCTGCGAACCCTTGATCCCCACTTCTTTCTGAGAACCGACATGATTAAATCACTGTCATAGTTTCTTTTATACTTTGCAGGCAATAAAATGATGGGTCCAAAGATAATTGTTTTTAATGGCAGTAGATAATTGCAAGCAATTTTCCATGCAAGTGTGTCATTATTGATTGGTAATAAGGTTGCAAATGGCGTAAAGGAAATTCTGTCGATTGCGTTTCTAGACTGTTACATTTCGTATGTAATATTATGTACCTACGTATACTATTTACCGCCATTTGCGTACAGACATATAGATATATGTATAGTGGGCAGTGCATTATTTACCCATTTATTATTTTAATAGCAATTGTTCTTTTTTGGCGAGAGGGATTATACTTTTACAGACTAAAAACCACTCCGGTTCATGTCCTGCTCCGCATTTAAGGCAGCAAATGGAATATGATTTTTTTTATATGTAGTCTTTGACTTGCTCTATAAAATGGCCTATGTATGTATTACAATCCGATCATCATCATCATATATCATCTTAACATTTATTATATATTTATTATATACTTAATATCATCATCATAACATCATGACTTGTTTTTTCCACATACATACATACGTGACACAAAACAGTGGTGTCTGAATTTTAGAGTCTCTAAATTGAAGTCGAAAAAAGGCAAAACAACAACAATTCGAAGAATAAGTCTTAAGAAAAAAGAGTGTGTGTGGATTTTGAACAACAACAATTAGCCAGATTTATCTAGTTTCAACAAGATTTTAAAGCTTAGTCAGTATTTTTATTATAAAAACTTCGAGTGGTATAGCCATGAAAACCTGTTTTATGTATACCTACGTAATATACTTAGAATTATTCGGCGGTTTGAAATGGTTTATAACGGCTGCCTTGTAATTAGGTACTATACTAAGTTGAAATCACGTTACAATTGTTTTTTAATACGACGATTACATCATAGGTATTAAAAACTTGTAATCAGGAAAAAATTGGCATACCTATACGAGTAGTTACTGTAGATTTGGTTGATAGCCAATATTTTTGCAAAAAACAAACAAAATTATTCCTTTTTTAAACTTAGTATTTAAATCTGGAATTGATTTTTAAATTTTATTGTAAAGTTCAGTTAGAGCAAGTAGTAAATAAAAAGACGAAAATGAATTAATGGCGTTAATAATTACAATTAATCGATCAAAAATATATTATTAACGTTTATGTTTATAAGGAACTCATAAGCAAACAAATCATACAACCATATTAATTCATGAACCCGTTAGTTCGCGTAGATAGACTAAAGTCCACTTTACGAACAGGTTTTTTAATATTAATCATTAGCAATATTGACAACAACATAACAAATTTTGGCCAAAAAATAAATCTTGATTTTTTAATAATATTTCAAAGATAAGTCTTAATAGTCTTTCATCATTGATACGTATAGTATCAAAATCTAAAAACTAAAAAGATGTATTAAGTAAGTACAATTGTGTATTTACGGTTTCACAACGTATGTTAAATTTTTTTACCGTTTCAATTTTTACTATCGACCCGCCCCCACTTTCACTCGGGTGCAATACTTACTGATCCTTTACTCCTCTACTAAATGGATGTTATTATACATATTAAACTTCTTTTTCAATCACTCGAGTGCATTGTGTAGTTTTAAAGATTTATATAGGTATACACAGGGACATAAGGACAGAGAAAGCAACTTTGTTTTATACTATGTACTAACATGTAGTGATTGTGAATTTGTGATATAAACAACACAGCAAGATTTCATCCTTTTAATTTTAATGCTTAAAAAGTTAAGGTTTAAAATTGAGAAAAATAATAGATTTTTTAAACTTGTGATTTCCAAACATAAAACCACAAAACGAGTGTAACTAAATAGAGAAAAGAACAGTTCTAAAGAATATTATAAAACGATAAAGAATGTAGGTACTAACATTATGTAATACGCTTACAATCTACAACCAGCTTTAATATACTTGTAATAAAGTATGTTTCAAGTACGTAAGTTCAAGTTCAAGACTGTATGCTTGTTTAATAAAATATGGTAGGAAATTACTGGTAGATTATTCGTAATTAGCAGTAACTTAAAAACAATAGACTATGAAGTAGCTAATTTTATTATATATTTCTTTAAATTGCTATCAAGCGGAATATTAATTGAAAAATTAGGTTGTAAGGCGAATATGTGTTATTATTTGACTAGATTGCATACTCGAGCAATTTCAAGCCTCGCTGGGGCCCGTTACTATGAAATGCTCATTTTTTTAAGGTAAAACTAGTCCAGTAACAGACAGACCTGATGAACTTCTTACAAAATAAAAAAAATTGTTTGTGTTACTTTGATACCAAATTGCATTTGCATAAAAATGTTAAACAAAATGATCTTGATCGAAATAAAAAATTAAAAGGTTTTATAGTGTTGTTTGTGAGCCATAAATGTTGTCTGGGGTTGAAAAAAACTTCGTTTAATTTTGGCTGTTTTAATGTTTCGGGGTAACACACAAATATTGGTACACAATTTTGATACTGGTTACATTTTTTCTACGTCAAGTAATGTTTGATTTAAGACAGTTCATTCTACCTTCTAAGTACAATTACCTACTTAGATATTAAATGTTCTTTGATTAAGCTACTTAGATGACTTCATAAATTCAATGTGGCGTCAACATACGAAAAATAGTTTGCACACTTCTTTTTTCAAATTCCCGGGTAATAACTAAGCGATCGTTCACTCAGTAGTCAGTTTAACGAATAACAATTGTAAATATATAATGTAAATAAGGTTGATATTTAAATTTAATTTGTAAGCATTACAGTCGATTCGTAAACTCTTTTGGAAACTCGACTTAGGCTAAGCAAAAGGATTATGATAAATATCGCCTGGTTAAGTTGATCTGTCCTCATAAAAATCGATGGTCCTAAATAGTTCATATTTTTGACGGTTCCACGTTCACTCCGCTATTACACATACCAACTCCATTTTTCAAAGTCAACTGAAATCATTTATTTCAATTTGACTTTAGACAAAAGGCACATTTGAACGTCAAAAAAAAAATATTACAAGATTTAACTTTGTGCGTGTCAGTCTGTCCGTCTGCCCTCAAGTGAAGCTATTTGCTCACTCCAAATTGTCGATTCCTATGGAAAAGAACGCGCAAGAAACTCCATGGTTACTCATACAAGTTCGTGAAAATTAAAACTAAATTTTAATTGTTTTATCAAGCCACAGATGGGTGTCTTATTTTTTCTTCTTCACAATTTAACCCAGAAATGCGTAGGTTATTTTTTGTTTTTCATACAATGGATGGTAAATTCAGGTATGCATTTTGGGAAGGTCACGAAATAAAATAACATTTGCAAATACATTTAATACGTTTACCAGCAGCTACTAACATAGCGTTGCATCATTTATCATGATACCACTAATGCTGTTATGCCTTCCTTTGCATGCAATGCCAGTAAAGTGTGAATTGGTATTAAAAAGAAGTGCATATAACCGGAATTTATGTAAAGGTGTAATTTGTGAATTGATTGACGTCACGAGGACGGACGTCAAGCCAGTTATGTACGAATTTGAGAACCAGTTGCAAAGGTGCTTAAGTCAGGCATGTTTGTAGTTAAGTATGCAATATTATTTTGTTCCATTATAAAAAGGAGGTTGTTTACACGAAGTATGTTAATTTTAAAATACAATGGTTATTTTAGTTTGCTGATCTAAATAATCTGAAGATCTTTAAGCGAGAAATTATAAAAATGATTTTTTAGTTTTTGAACTCTTTAAAGTAATATCAACGTATCCACACACATATAGGTCTTTTTAGGACTGTAACTATACTGAGAACACCGGTTCCGGATTGCTAAGTGCATATTAGTTGGCGAAATTGTAGCTTACCTTCTCAGGCTTAACCCAGTCTTCCAAATGGTGAATTATACTCTTCAGGTCATTAATCAAGTACGCCACTTCCAGCATGACGGATTCCATCTTGCTTCTCCTCAGATCCTTACGTAGGGCTTCTATCATGGCGTTTTGATTTTCTTCGTACATACGAAGGAGGTTCTTTAGCTGCTGCAAGCGCCATTTTACTGGGCGGGTTACACCGCGGTTGTATGCGTCCCTTGCCTTTTCTACAGCCTGAGAAAAAAAGAATAAGGGTTATTCCAACTGTTTATGTTTGGAACGGCACGAATGGTTTGGCTCGACCGGAGTGATACTAGGGCCTCACTGAAAATCGGCGTGAAGCTACACTTAAGTTGTGTTTCGCCGTGTGAGTGAGGTTACCCGAAGCCCAATCTTCCACCCCCAAATTCCTAATAACCCACAAGAGGCGGGCAACGCACTTTACGTAACTCTTTCAGTACTACGAGTATCCATGAGCGGCGCTGATTACTTACCACCAGGTAATCTGTCTACTCGTTTGCCGACCTTTGGTATAAAAAAGAGGCTTGGTATTTTAATCATATACGTTAAACACCTCATGGCCAGCCATAGTTACTCGTAGGGAGGAAAGGGATTTTACCTTCAAGTTTTATAGGCAGTGTTAAGTAAATACTTGCTGATTTCTCATTTTAGCAATTAGTGTAGGAACTAACGTATTAGAAACTACCGGAAGATGTTGTATATGATGTATGATGTCGATTTTCTGAGTCTGAATACAACCTTTTGTTGTAGATAATAATGACAGTGTGGGGAAGCCATGCTTCGGCACGAATAGGCCGGCTCGACCGGAGTTATACCACGGCCTCACATAATCATCATCATCTGTATTATGATGTGCGCTGTGCGAGTGGCGTTACAGAAGGCCCAATCCCCCCCCCCCCCAATACCTAAATGCCTAAATCATTTTATTTCCATTTGTAACTCTCCTGGAGTTTCGTTCATGGGCGGCGCTGGTGGCTTACCATTAGGTAATCAGTCTGATTGTTTGTAGCCGTATGTCATAAATTAAGCTGATATTATTTCCTCGTTCTGTTATTTTTTATTTTTAAGATTGGAGGAATGAAGTTATGCTTCTAATTTATAATAAGTTTTCGTCTCTCTTATCTTGGTAATATAATAAATCAGTAAACTAATAATGATGATCTCACGCATGCTATTTTGAGTCAACCATCTTGAAGACTGGTTTTGAGTACCTATCTAATGTAATACGTCTTTTGAACTTTGTATCTTCAAAATGGTCGACTCATTGTGACTGTCAAATAATTTGTAGGTGTGTAATAGAGTGCGTGGACTTTGATACTTAATGGAAATTGGTTGACTAACTTTACTGGTGCCAAAATGTGTATATTTTGCGATAGACATACTATTGTTTCATTTTCAGAAAATAAATAAACAAATAAAAATTCCAAGCATATTTTGGCCAACTCGGTAATCATATTAATTACTCAAGTAATATACTACTACAAGTACTACTACTACTACTACTATAAGTACTGCATTGTCTTTAGTCAGCAAAAGATTTGACCTTGAGAATTTATGAAGTGCAAATAACATTCGACCTTCAAGGTCATTTTTGTGACGTACACACTATACCTACAGTTCGGTTCTTTCTGCGGTTATTATTGTGATTCCGAAACCTTTGCGAACAAATATATTGTGATAATCAACGGTAAGTGGGTTTTCTAATTTAGAGTAAATAAAACCTTACATGATTTTCTCTAATTTATTTTTATAATAAACTGTGGAATAGCACCGTGTTAATTAACAATTGAGTCCGAGCGTTATAGCAACTAAGTGAGACAAAATTGTAGTCAGTAACATCTGTCTTTTGTTTATTACACTAACACCCGATTTCCGAAAGGCCGATCAATGTTAAAATCAATTTAATCTCTTGTCAAGTCATCTGATTGGTTGATTGAATTATCAACAACCAATCAGATGACTTGACAAGAGATTTAACAGGAGATTAGTTAATTTTAGCGTTGACAAGCCTTTCAGAAACCGGGTGTAAATGCGTTAGATTTACGTAATTTAGACCATCGGTTGAAGTGTTAGAAAGTTTTACAAATAACAGAACCAATATCAAAAATATTTGCGATTGTAATATGTATATGTATTTATATAGCAATTATGAACTCAAACTGATTCGAATTTATATAACTACACAAGTTTGATACATCTCACTATAAACAAGCTATTGTTAAAATTGTCAAACAAAAACTAAAGTATATACTTAAGTGGGTATTGTAATAAAAAAAAATACCGATATTGCCGACTACCGTATGTATCCAACTTTATAAACGTCAAAACCAAACTTTATAAGCGGATTACCGTAATTTATCATAAACAAAATAAACACAGTATTACATTGTGGATACTTTTTTTAAATGTCACTTTAGGTTGTCGTTGCAACATAACAAGTAGGTGAGTATTAAGTAGGTTGTAAGTACCTAATTATTTAGTTTGTAACCCCAATTCCGTTTTATTATTTATTTGTATTCATAATTGTTGTGTGCTTGATGTTACATACAACTTGATAAATAAGCAGACTAGATAGGTAGGTACGCATTATTTGATTATATAGAATAAATATTAATATACATTATTTACATGCTATGTACTCAGAATTTAAATTTGTTTGCTAGATTCTTCTTTAATTAGTCTATGTATAGGCGTCGGATCGAACCTACTTTAAAAATATTTAAACTTTTAGTAAAAAAGTTTTTTTTTTTATAAAAATATAGAATTTCGCAAAGTTTATGTATTGTGACTCGTGTTATTGTATTTAGAGTATATTTGAGTTACGTAAGTGTGGCACCATTTATCTCTGAGGCCATTGACACCCTTTAATAGTTATCAGTCAAAGGTCAATTAAATTCTATATTAAAATAAAGTTGAAAATGATTTACGACTACTGCATGCTGCACCTTTTTGAAATATTGTTCTTCCCTCGCAATTTGAGATCAGACAAAAGTGGCTCTACCAACTTCCATTATCATTTCGGTGGCAAGGAACAAGTAAAGCTGAAGTTAGGTGTAAAGTCAAAATAATCTATGGAGCACGAAAAATGTAAATATTTTTTTTTAAATAACTCACCTCAGCGACATTCTGCTGCTTGGGCTTCGAGTTTGCTATTCCTGTAACAAAAGAAAAGAATAAATTATTATAATTTTAGTTGACTAACAATAAATTTTATTTCTGGATTTTTACTGTCTGTTGTTATATTCTCAAACTGGGGCTCTTCCCAATTGTATTTACAGTGCAAGAGTTTATTTTTACATTAAAATGTATGTAAATATAAGTAGACAGGAAAAAGACACACAAAAACACTGAGCCTCCTCAAGGTCGAAGGTCAAAGGTCAAAGGTCAAACGTAGATAGATTCTTTAAGGGCCTTTGTTGTTGTAGAGTTTAGTGTCATATTACAATAAAATAGTGTGGAAAAAACAACACAATAGAGTTATGCTTGGATGACATAGCATAAAAGTATTTTTTATTTTATTTTAATTAGAAGTGTAGTGTCACTACATAGTATGAATAAAACAAAGTCACTTTTTCTGTATAATTAAATCTATCCCTATGTATAATTAGATCTTTAAGACTCAATAACAGATGTTGATGCATGTTTTAAAATAAATAGAGTGATTGAGTGATTGTGAGAAAGGTTTACATGTATATTACATGTACATGGTTCATGTATATCATATGTACATGGTTAACATCCATTAAATGGCGGAGAAATTTTGTATGGGCATTACACCCATGCATCGTCGGGGTGGGTCGCTAGTAGATATATATAAATCCTAAATAATGGTAAACTTAAAGGCTCAAGGTGTTCTTGAAATAAACAGGTTCATGTTGTATTGTTGTTTTTGATAAATATTTATACACTGTATTGTACATAATGTCATTGAGGTCAGTCTTCATACATATATAATATACCTAATGTAATATATGTAGGTATGTACTATGAATATTTAATAAGTTTCCAATGATTCATTTTATAAGCTAAGTTTTACGTAAAACATATTTTAATACCCTTTTTTAATATTATTACAAAAAGGTTTTGGTTAACCTAAACTGCTGTTTTTATTGATATCAGGACTTTTTGGTAGGCTGTATTAAAATATGCATAATCTTAAAAGTTGTGATTGCATTAAAATGATAATCCTTTTATCTTCTACTTCAGTCTACTGGTAGAAAAAGCCTTGAAAAAGTTAAAATCTTTATGCATTTCTGTACCGGTTCTCTATTCTTATTCATAAATACATATGTAATATAATCGGTTTAATCCTAGATCTACTATTTGTGATAAATTAAGATATTTAACAAGTGGCTGCTGTGGCAATACATATGATGAATATTTTAAGTTAGTACAGCAGAAATATTAATAATTCATCTATTACTATAAATTATATAAATTAATTAAAAAGCAAGATATTATTTTATCATACATAGTTACTTTTTAGAAGATATGAAGAGCACGAAGAACATAATAAAACATTAGCAAAAAGACTAAATTATTCCTCTTGTATAATTATACTGCAAAATTAGCAACACAATGATTTAAAAAATATACACCACCTATATGATTATAAAGCAAAATACTTGTGAGAATGAACTTCTGACGTTACCGTAAGTTAAATATTCCACTAAGAATCATATAAGAAACCGGTTTTACGAAACGAAATTACATAAATGATAAACCTCATTTAAACTACATAAAATTACTTAAACAGTTCCAAAACTCACCTAGAGTCATGTTGTTGACTTGGTTAATAAAACACAAACACAACAATTTTGGATCAAGTTCAAAGTTAGAATGTAACAAGTTGTTTATAAAAAAAACGAGATTTAAGTAATTATGTGATAAGCTATCGATTATCAGAGCACAAAGTCCACTATTGTCCAAGCAATAGATAGCGTTGCCTCGAAACAATTATCTTAGCTAACTAAACTAATACAAAAAAGTCTTTTTCGTAAAATTCGCAACTAATAATCCAACTTTCCATCAGCTGTTTGACAGATTGAATGAGTTTTTCAAACGAAAATTTAAATGGCGATGAATGAATGAAGTGAAAATCACTAGCGCCATTGTGGATTATCTTGTCAAAAGTTCATTTGGAATTACTCGGTACGTTTGATAGATGGCAGTGTTCACAATTATGAAAACGCTTATTACTTGGTCAATTAATTTGTTTAGTAAAACGGTATGAAATGGTATTAAAAAAGTTGAACTTACCGATTTGGAGATATTTGATAGAGGTCCAAAGAAACATCGATATGGTAAAATTATTGTGTGGGTAGGAGCTCTAATTAGGGACAGGGAGATTTAGGACGGGATGGTCTGTTCAATTAACGTGAGCGGTAACTTTTTGGCATCAATACTGGGATTCAATGATCAATAACACAGCGATATATTTTTCAGCTGTATATTATAGTGAACCTGCCAATTAATTTATCATTGATAAAATACATAGGTGTTGAATAAACGCGCTGTAATCGCTATTTCGGATTGTCGACAACGTTAACTACTTAAGTAACGACTACCTTGGTAGGGGTTGGGAATTGTGACTGAATCTTACTCAATCTACGAAAGACCATATTATCTAGTTGAAAAAAATAAAGAGTAAAATAAAAGCTTCAAAAAACGGTGTTATTTTAGTAAGTGTTCAAGGCTAATTTTGTAATAACTTTTGGTATTTTTAAATTGAATCTACCTTTAGCAAGCGGTGATGAATAGTACCTACTCATAACTTTTCCCTGTTCCAGAAACCTTTTCTCAGCCGTGACACAATTATAGGCTGATGATGTTTCTAATGAAAACTACTTATCAAAGTGTAGCCTATTTATTTAAAGGAGTAGGTCGCTTATGTAACTATGACACTTACCTATACGTACCTATATACTGTCGAAATAAACGACATTATCGGTGCCCTGACATGAATTAATTAAATAGATCTACCGCAGATCCAGCGCGCTCGAAGCACTCAGTGCATTCAAATAGCGTCATAATGTTTGCATACGTTGAAAAATCGATCAGATTGATATAGGAAATATTAGAACGTATTTGTGGAACGAATTGTTTTATGCGATAGGTAGGTCGGCAAACGAAGAGGTGGGTAACCTGATGGTAAGCAATCGGCGCCGTCCAGCGACACCCGCAATCCCTCAGGAGTTACGATTGCGTTGCCGGCCTTTTAAGCATCAGACTTTCGGAGATTTAGGGATTGGGGAGGGGAAGACTTGGGCCTCCGGTAACCTCACTCACAAATTAGTATTTAATTTTCTAATACATAATGGATTATAAATAACTGATGATATGATTTATCAAATCATTGACATCATCATGATGCAATTATTTAGGTAAAACTAAAGGTTAAATATCTTGGTATGCCCATCTAAAAGTTGTCTAAATAATATATTGCATAGGTATAGAAATGTTTACAATCAGTTATAAACCTAAATCCATGTTAACTAAAAAACTAAATTGTAATAATCTTGTATCTGTATTTATTTTATACTTTTTCAGACAAACCAAGAATGTTTAGGTACATACCATAAATCAATAGACCATAGACTAATTTATATTGATTAGGTACTGTTATCATCTAGGTACAATAATAATATCAAGTTTAACAATAAATTATTAATGTATCATTTCATTATTTAACTGGGTGTACCTTTTATATTATTAACAGCCATAAAACATCGTGTATCTGCATATATTAAAACATTAATGATTTGCAAGTAAACATTTTTATGTACCTAGGTACCTAAGTAGGTATGCTTCTTTACATATTTTTTTTTATAGGTAGATAATTTTCTTTCTTTACGTTTTTGTATTACGCTTGGAGTTTTGTTATAACATTTAAATACAGAATCCCATTAACAACGTATGCACTTTAGCCAATCTAAATAAAGGCTGAGTTTATCTGTTCTTATGTGTAGTTTGATAGTTATGATTGTCAAACACATAAACAAGGACCTTCATCTTTATTTACAGGTACTTTACTTATAGTATTATAAAGTTAAAGAGCTTATGTGTTTCTCTATATCTCGGAAAGCAGCAACTGGTTTTAAATGAAAAAAAAAAATTGGCCATTCCTTTTATATCGAGGAATGCTATGGGTAATAAAATATTACTCTAAGCTAGTAGTAAAGGGAATTAGTTTTCAGTAAAAGTGGATAAACTACTGAATAACTTGTCACCACATACACGAAACATTTGTGTTTTACAATTTTCAAATAATTTTCAATATAATTTTCAAAAATATAATTATCATGCCAAGCCTGAATATACCGCACATAGTTTGTTCCGAATCCGTCTAAACATCAACAAAAACGGCTAAAGCAAAATAACGAATGAAATAATTAAATGAACTTTGGTCATTGTAAAAAATATGCATGGATACTTAATGTGCGACTTATTTACGGTCGAGAATTATGTATTCCTTTTTATTTATTTTTTCATCAATTAAGCAGCATCTTCTTATAATCGTTAAAAGTCGTCTTGTTTTTTATTATTATAAAAAACGACTTATAATCTTTTAAGTATTCTAATGTCCAGTTTAAAGTCGAAAAGATGACAACACCATTTATTTTTATTGAAAGAAAACATGGTAGATGTAATACTTATTAAAGTCAAATCATCTATTTCAATTAGACCAACATATGGCACTTATAAACGTAAGACAAAATAGTCAGTTATACAGAATTGTAGAAAAGCTTATTTGCTTCAAAGAGTATGTAACCACTACGTTTGATTTGCTCGTTCCAATGAACGTTTTCTTGGTATAGATCTTTTTAAACCCCGACGAAAAAAGAGGGGTGTTATAAGTTTGTTTGTCTGTGGCATCCTGGAGCCTGAACGGATGAAGCGATTTCAATTTAGTATTAAAGGTGCGAGTGTTCTTAGGCATGTTTGATGAAAATCGGTTGAGCCGTTTAGAAGTTATGGCGGTGTAAGTAGGGAAGGCTAACCGAAGGTCTGCAAATATACTCGAGTAGGGTTACAATGAAAGCGCACTGAAAGGGAATGTTGAAGACTTAATCGAGTGTGCTCTTAGCAATATAAAATGATATACAGTAACTACAAACAGTAAAAAAAATGAAAAATTAAGATCCCTTTAAAAAGT